TGTATACATATATATATATATATATATATATATACACACGTATATATACTTCTAAAAGTCGTGTATCATGCATAGGAACGTTGACGCCTGCAAGGCTCTGGTTTGTAGTTAGTCAATTTGTGTGATATATAGTACAGTATATATTTCATAATTGTAGACTATAGTAATTATTGTTATTAGATGATTCACATTATAAAATAATAGTAGACATTGTGCTGTGAACTTGCTGATCACCAAAATTCCTATTTTGTACACAGTTGTTGACAATGCACCCGAGTATTTAGCCTTGGCCATTAATGAAAGGGGGAAAATCACCACCAACCAACCTTGATTTTCAAAAGTCACTGCTAATATAGGCGACAACGATTTCATCATGTAGTTTGGAAATCAACAAAAACTGAATTTTTTGATAGCAATTTAATGTTTCACATTAAAAGTCAATAACAAAATGTATTATCCAATCTACAGTTGTAATGCTTTTCAATTACAAATTTAAAAAAAAAAGGATGCAACTTTTTCTTGTATCAAATTCTACTTAATTCAAAGTTGCTGTGTAATGGCAGATGGAAGAAATTTGCTGACAAACAAGTGGGAAGTGTTTAACAAAATACTAATACCAAGTAAATGTACATAGTACTGATTCTAGATGATTACTGTACAGCATTGTACATAATATTACTATGAGAAGTCACCTCTATAAATACAGTAATAGGGTACCGGTTTTAGATCGTCTGTACTTTTTGTTTTAAAAAAAATCAATTAAACAATTCCATCATCAATTTTTAGAAAAAGATAAAAATAAAATGGCAACAAAAAAAATCCCTCAAAAGAGCTTCTACCTATTGTGTTTGAATTACAAAATATTTTAACATTTACAAGGTCAAATGAGAAACGTTGATGTTATTTTCAGATTTTACATAGATAACGATCAAACCTTGATCAGGCTTTTTATATAAAAAAAATAACAATCATGAATATTTGAATATATGAGGCTTAATACAACAACACATATTCAGTTATCCGAATGCTCTTGTAAGAGCTTTTAAGTGTAATTCTAATCATAATTTTTTATGAAGGTCATCTTAAGTGTTGCCAGGTTATTATCATTATCATATTTTATTAAATGCTATACTGCATTTAGTGCTGTTCAATGACTACATGGGTGATAGTAATTTATAAAAGTAGCTCTTGCCTTGTACACCCTATTTAATGGAATTCCATTGCATTTAAACTGTATACTACTGTATGGACTGTTTATTTTTATTTTTTTTCTATTATTTTGGTTTTTTTTGTAGCTATGTCTTTTTTTCCTTTATTAACTTCATGCAAATTGGGGTGGGGTGTTTGCTAATGCTATCTAAACATTTTATTGAACTTTTTTTATTTATTTTTTATTTATAATGCCATGTCCTTTCTTTTTTTATTAATGCCATGTCCTTTTTTTTTTTTACGCATAATTTTCCAACATCTATTTAGAAGCATTGTAGCATACAGTACAAATAAAGAGTCAAATTCTTAAAGTGAAACAGGCCAAAACAAATTTTTCCCCAAAGTCATGTGGGTGGGAATAATACTCTAACAATTGTTTCATGGCGCTTAACATAAAAAATTACAGTTTATAAATTGATTTGATTTGAGTTTTATACAAGAATCTCGAGACTTACAATTAACATCAAAATTGGATAAAGTAGGGAAGACAATGTGTTTAAAAAAGGAATAAAGTATTTAATGTGTATTTTCCAAGATAACTCAATAAAGCCCAGTGGCTTATCTCCATTGGGGACCATACTGTATACTACAGTATACTGTATATCAATCTCTATATTATAAATATGCCATTTACATTATAAAATTACCAATTACAGTGTATCAAAACAAAATTAATGATTCTACAAGTATTTTTGGAAGACTATTTAGATAGGTGGTTTTAGTCACTTTTTAGACACTGCTATATAAATCATATTATTATTAAACCGTAGTAGATTGTGAAAGTTTGTGAGTCCAAAGTTCCTTATTTTTCATATCCCTGGAGAGTTCAGATGTGTGTTTGTTACAATTTGTTTACCTCAAATTACAAACAATGATAGAATATTTGA